GCACAACTTGTAACTACAAAGCATGCGCGCGCAACAGGTCGTTTCCGGTTATTTTTGGGTCCCCCCTTTTATTATCAATAAAAATATTATCAATTAGGGAGCTATTGTTCTGAGTAATTCTGGTTGGTAGCTGGACAGTATTAAAAACATTAAATGAGTACAACAGTAAGAGGAGCTGAGTCTTATGTACAGACTCGTTTAAAAAATTTACATTAAAATCTCCAGTTATTATAAATTCCGTTTTTGTTTTATGTAGGAAATTAAGTACTTTTTCCAGTTTCTTCATAAAATAACCAAAATTGCCACTAGGTGACCTGTATACATATAAAACTAGTACGTTTTGTTTTCCAATATTGATCTTAAGTGCACACCTTTCTATATTCTTTTCATTACAGTATTGTGTTAGATCAATAGGAGTAAATTTTATGGCTGGTTTAATATAAATACACACACCTCCCCCTAGATGTCTTGAGTGAGCGAAACTTGCTCCTAAGACATAGTTCGACAGTTTATTAGAGGATAATTTAGAATCTGTCATATAATGCTCGGAGAGACATATTAGATGAGGACTAATATTTCTAGATACCATTGAACATGTAAATTCGTCAGTTTTATTGGCAAGACCTCTAATATTTTGGTGAATAGTGAATAATGATTCTTTAGTTTGCTTAGATACATTATATTTAGACTTATTTGCATCAGATTCTATTCCCATAAAAAATCCTCATTTCTAGTTTGTGGTCTTCTTTTTCTTTTGATTCAGTGAAGAGGTTCCTGGTCAGGCATTGGACCTTGATGATCCTTATAGTTGTTAGTTTCCCTTTTGTTTCTGTTTTTTTCATCTGAGTTGGGTGTACCATTTCTTGAGATTACTTTGGTAGCATGCCCTGGTTCTATTGTTAGCTTAGTATGGACGGGTAATGTTGTTTCCATTTCAGTGGGATAACCGTAGTTCTGGACTTCTGCTTGACTATTTCTTCTATTACACTAGATATTCTTGCTGCCATTTCTATTTTACCTTTCTTATTGTAATGAAATCCATGTCTAGTATAGAGTTCTCTGTCCATTTTGGCATTTACTAAGGTTACCTTATTTAGACTATTTACCAGTTCAATTAATCTTCTGTTGAACCTCCTTATTTCCTCATTCACACATGAATTAAGATTCAAGTCATGCCTATGGGGTACTGCAATTACTATGGTGTTGGTAAAATGGTTACTTCTCAGATACTTGATATCCTGGTTTAATCCATTTCCAGCATTGTTTTTTGATATATCATTTGCTCTGCCACAATAGATTAGGATATCCTTCTTCATTAATTTATGTACTTCCTGTGTAGCAGTAGATGTCAGCTGATTAATATTTGCATTAGGTTTTACTATTCCCATGATCTCATAGTTATCGCCCAGTTTGTGTTTCAGCTCACTGGAAAGTCCTCTAACGTGACTATCACCAATAATCAAAATTTTACATTTTTCTGATAACTTAGTTGATTTGTTTCTCTTGTTATTTTTGACTTTATGTAGTCAATTACATAATATACTATTTCTTGATATTAGTGGGGTCTGGACATTTACTTCCTCAAGTGGTATTGCCATTGAGGTTACGATGGTTGGAATAGTTGATATTACTTCATCATTAGTGTCTTCATTTATTTTGGTGCATCTAAGAGCATCAAAGCCAACAAGAAATACAGATTCACAAAGAACACATTTGTAAAATATGAGCATTTTATAGGTGTTACTCTTCATTCACAGTAATGTCCAGTGCATTATTAACCAACCTAGTTTTCTAGTTCCCTGTAACACTTATTCTAGAATTTAGATATTTTCATCATTGACATGAACCATGAACTCAGTGTGTGTTATCAGCCCAGGAACTGTACATTGAAAATGCTGGAATACAAAGCTTTATCATAAAAGCAATTTCTTTATTCCATTAACCTTTAAACGCCAGACTTTTGAAATGGTAGTAAGCTTGAGCTGGCCGGAGTTTATTTAAATGCCTGCTGCTGGTGTGCGTTTAAATGTCCATTCCTGTTAGGGTGCTTAAACAATTTTAAGCATTGTGTTTAAAAATGCTGTATCTAACATAATTTTTATGATAAATGGATGGAATTAACTTTGTTTGTAAGAGCAAAGAACATAGTGTCGCATATTATAACGGAAGATTGAAAATTTTTGTACAAATAATTATACACTTTTTTCAATTTATTTTTCTTTTAATTTTGATACGTACTGCAAAAATACTTTCCCAGTTCTTCACAGAGTTGTTCTGCATTATAAATTCATTTCTGTTGGTAACACTTGACAAATTTTAGCAGACCCTGGTGTCATAAAACAGATGGAAGCAATAAAATCATTTGGTTCTCTGCTGGGAAACCTTACATCTTGTTACACCCTTCAGATTTTCGAATCTTTTGACTAAAGGACAGAAGAATGAAAGAATGGTTATTCAAGAAAAAGATATAGAGGGGTCCCTTCTTCAATGCTAAGACCTAAGACCTTATTGCCCTTTCTATGGTCATGAACAGAGAGTTGTATCGTGGCTTAGATATAGTGTGAGATCTGTTTTCTGTGCGTTCATAGTGACATCGAATTCTGTAGTTTCATTTCAGCCTATATATACCTTGTGGGGCTCTTGTCAACGTGTGTAGTCTTGTCATTACTCCGATGACAACCCACTTCTTCGGAACAGTTTGTTGGCCCTGAAAAGGACCGTGGCTGCTGAGATGATTGACCGGTGAGGTAGCGCGGTGCGCGCCGGTAAGGAGAAAGGCTAGTGAAAGGCGAGTGGCCTGGCCGCAGTGCGGCCGTGGCTGGAGGTTGCTTGGTTGCCGTGCGGCAGCGTGAGTTGGAGGTGGCTTGATCGCAGTGCGGC